GAGGGGAGGGGGTGGGGGGGCGGTGGGGGGGGGGGGGGGGGGGGGTTGGTATAAATGAGGCCCGATGAGGTATAGTGAAAGGATGAATGTACAAGGCTTAGCAAGGGGTCGAGTTTGGCCCGGCCACAAGCCAGTTAATGTGACTGAATATAATCCTGCTCAATTTGAGCCACAGTGAACTAATCCCAATGTCACTGTCTTCACTTGTGTTTAAGCACAGTAATTTACCACACTTCCAGATACCATTTGTATCTGATGGGATTTTCCAGCAGCACAGTGAATTAGTCTTGTGTGCCCTAACTGCCACGCAGGTGTAGCAAATTAGTCTAGCAAATACCTCTCACTTAGTGTAGCAAATACTTCTCACTCACCATAAGCTAGGCAAACTGTCACCTCAGAAACAGGTTACCAGGTATAGTTATATAGCTTAACTATCCTTGACACGATAAGATGCAAAACATTATTTTTAGAATCTGAAGGACCTATTAATATCAGAGCCAGGGTGTAAGTAAAAGGAGTGGTACTTTTATGGTGTACCACCAAAATCTGAGATAAAAGTAAAGGTTGAACCCTGGGAAGTCATTCAGCCCTCCATCAGAGACTGACATGACATCAAATTAGCTCTTCCTCCATATTACAGTACTTTATTAAGCCAGGCAGGGGTGGGAGGAAAGCTCAAGTGTTTTCTGTGGCTGTGTGAGAAAACTATGCCCATAAGAGAAGCCTCTTTTTAACTGGCAGCTACAAATGGAATCTGAGTTCTCCAGCACCAAGCTTGGGATTTTAGTGAGAGTCTTTGTTAAGGTGAAGCCCCAAAACCCAGAGACATTACTTTTTGAACTAGCCTTAAGCATCTATAGTCAGTCTGCTAGAATGAGAGTACTCAAATCTTGTATACCTTTTGACAAACCCTCCTTTTGAATGCTTCAGCTACATATATATGTTTGTGTGTGCATGTACACGCACACACATTTGATATGTACACACACACACACAATGTATTTAAGCCTCCTCCTCTTTACTGATTAAATTATTTCCTTTCCAGTATTCATCGTATTGCTTCCCAGAAACTTCATTTGCACTCTTATGGTATGGTAAGTGATCAAAGGAAGATTCATGTCACACAGAAAATAACCTAGATAAAATATACAAGCCTCTTCTCAGTATTACAATGGTGACCCCTGGAAGATGAGGCAAATCTGGGATAAAGACATACAGATTACAAGAGTACCATTAGAGAAGCACATATAGAAAGGAAGTGCTGTCCTTACAGAACTACGGCACTGATAAATATTACAGCAAATGAGATTTAGGCTTTTTTATCTTCTTTATATTAGTAACTGTTCCACAGAAGACTGGTAACTTTCCTAGCAACCAGACCTTAGCAGTGATTATATTGCTATACAAGAAGGATGTTAAAGTAGTATTTTAAGAGAAAAGACAGAAGTGTATTGTGTAAGTTTGTCTCCCAGCCCAATAATACCTTCTAAGATTTGGCAGTCAGAGCACAGAGAGATGTGGGGTTTATACTCCAGTGATTCATGATGCCTCTTTCTCCCAGAAAAATGTAATATGTTGCCAACAACCTGATCTAAAGCACAAAAACTAACACAAATGAGTCTGCCCGAGGGAGCCTGGACGAAAAACAGTAGTTCAGCCAAACTCTTCATCTTAATAACATCAATCCAGTCAAGCAGTATAAATGGAAGAAAAATCCACAAGTCTTAAGTCCTGGGTCATTTCTCTTATCTGAAGTATGATACCCATTTGATATAACGAGTGTAAATTTTCAGGAATTATGGTGTCTAAGGGGCAGATTGGTTTTTAAGACTTCTAAAAGGACAATTTGGTGGCCTTGGATGAAGCAGTTTAAATGAAGCCTGCTTTAAGATAAAGTGGCATTTTTGCATACAGTACACTGAAGGTAGCATGAAATGAGTTACAGGGAAAGGAGAGTTATGCTTCGATGGCTCTGTTACTTGAATTTTCAGTATTTCAAGGACACAAGTACTGGACCTTGAAAGGCCCGGCAAAAAATCATCTGGATTCCTG